AATAATTAATAAAAATTATAAATTTTTATACTCAGGTGCTCATAGGCTTAGCGAAAGTCATTTGTATCATTTAGTTATTCAGACTTATAGGTAATATATCAACAGTTTATTAACCTCACTTTTCACATATGAAAACCAAGAAGACTAGATAAAAAAAAGTCGTTTTAGTTCCGCTATTTATAACTCAAGAACGGCTGAACCGATTTGGCTGAAAATTGGTGGGGAGGTAGCTTACAACCAGGAGACGGACATACGACACTTTTTATTCCGTTCCCGTGGAAGAAAGGAGTGGTGAAGAGGAGTTGCAATATTTAAATGGAACATATATTGTTTGTCGTCAGACTGAATTTATTTGAAACTTGGTATATATGCTGTTTGATATTATTAATTAAATGAAAATAGGTTGGAACGTTTCTATGGGGTATATTTTATTTCTACTCTAAGCAAATACGTGTTTTGGCAATTTTTAAAAATCAACCCTTAAGGATGAAATGTTGTTGCTACGTTTGTATTTGAAATCTAAGATGACGACATTACATAAAATTAAAATGTTGTAAGGGTGAATTGGGAGTTAAAAGGTTTTATGGAGAAACAATATTAATTTCTGCGAGCGAAGCCGCGGGGAAAAGCTAGTAAAGAAATAAATTACAACTGCATATGTGTCTGTGCAAACAGTTTTCGAAAAATAATTGTATGTCAACGGAAATTTCACAATCTTTATTGGATTACTTTAATCGAGCTTTTCTACTTTCAAAAGCAACTTCTAGTATTGGGTGAATAATAAAAAATTAAATAGATTATTTGTCACAAAGAAGTAACTATCAACGTTAATTAATACGATAGATTCGTATTTTTAATTGGGAAATTGCCTTGGCGCCTCCGCCATTTATAAATTCTATTTATAAACCGAAAATTATCATATTTAGATATATAGCAAATGTTCTGTAAGCGAGCATTTATTCGTTGGCATGAATCCAGCGAGAACCAAGTCATTAATTTCTTCCCCAGATTATCTGGCTAATGTTTAAACTGTTAGTAACTACTTATGTACGAACTGTGTATTGGTACCTACTGAGAGAAAGCTAAACGAAACATTATCGGTTTTTTGTTTAAATAAACTCGAAAAGAAAAGTAAAAGTAAGTATAGTGAGAGAAATACAACAAACAAATTAAGTGGATTAAAAGGAAGCGACCAGTCTTAACACGTAAAAGAAGCTTGTAGTATTATTTCTCATTTTTTTACGATATTCGGTATAATTTAACTGTCAAATAAATCAGGATCTTTTTCAGATATTAACTATCAGTTATTAATAACCACATAGAACTAAATATCTCATGAATCAGGGGTGAATTTTGCAACAAATCTGGGGAGAGAGGTATTGTATTGAGTTTATCCTAACGTCTGATGGAGATGACGCTATTTATTGGGTAGTATCGTTGGAAATAATATAAAATAAAATTGGCCCCTCAATAATAATGCAATTCGCATAAAAACAAAACATTGATTTCTTTTGTTGTAGTAGAAAATCCTGTAGTTTCTGCAATGAGTCCTTCATCAAGGCGCGTTTTCCAACTACCAGCACTACTTATTTAGTTTAGATAATTAACATTACGAATTAGACATACAGCATTGAGACTTGAGTGAAATTGTTAGGTGTTTTCTTTTTTCGTTGAAAATGCTGGAAATTTTTTCTAATATTCCAGATTTCCAAATTTCCTAATTAGGTAAAACTTATTATGAAATTTTGTACATATTAGGGATATAGAAAAGGACATTGGGTACCTTTTAACCAGAAAAAATTCGGTTCCAGATGTATAGAGAGGTTGATTTTGTGGGGCACTCGATGATTTCTGACACATATTTAGGACATCAACGCGAACAAAGCCGCGGATAAAACTATCATGAAATTTTGTACTGACATTGTTAAGAATATAAGAAAGGAGATAGGATACCTTTTATCAAGAAAAGATACTGTTCCCGAGGGATAAAAAAATTAGTTTTATGTGGTTGTTGATAATTTTTGACAGTTGTTTAGGAGTTAGTGCTATTTGCGAACGTGTCATTTGCGAACAAATGAGATTTAGTGGCACTTGCGAATAGCAATAAGTAGCCTTGGGTTGACCTAGAAATTATAGTTTCATTTGCGAACAGACAGTAAGTTATTTAGCCTCTGTTATATAGGGGTTTCATCTCTTCGGAGTATATCTTTGGTATAGATATACATCTTCCTCCCGTGCTCGTTTTTTTGCCGAAAACAATCCTTTCTTTACTTCAATAAGAGCCATATCCGGCTTACAAGCATGTGGTGTGACTGACATTACTTCATCACACTTGCTCTTTAAC